AGGTGGGCTCCTAGCGCTGGCCGCGGCGTCTCTGAGTGAGGGTCGTGCGAGGCTTTTCGCCTGCAGGAGACAGGGTGCGTTTGTCCCCCCACCGCTCTTATCTCCCCGGAGAAGAAGCCGTCTCCAGTCCTGAGGGTGTGGGGGGGGGAGCGGGGTGCGAGTAGGTCGCCACCGTTCCGCACTGCTGGGGCAAAGGGACAAGTTGTTGGGTCCACTCGCGCGCGGACAGCCAGGGTGGTGGGCTTCGTGCAGACCCCCGAAGGAGCCTAGGCTGGTGGGGTGGCGCTCTTCTGCCCCCCTCTCCACGTCCCACAGCTTGGGTGAGCGTTTGTCCCCAGCTCTTCTCAGCTCTGGCGCCACCAAGCTGCGTGGGGTGCCTAGCAGGTGGAGCGGAGGCTCAGCCCACGGCGCAGTTGACCGCGCGAGTTTTGGACTTGGCGGGGGCCTAAGAATCCTGGCCAGACCCCATTGGGCCGGCCAGCCCTGGAGAGCCCGTGCCCCCTCGCACCCGCTCTCCTTTCGGAGCCCCAGCATGGTGTCTAGAAGCCTCGGGAGTGTAGGTCTTTTTAAAGAGGCCCTCAGAGAGCTGCCCCTTAAACTGGACGCTTCGGGCGTCCCAAACCCGCCTCTCCTTTGGCAAAACGTCACCTCTTGTGTTGTCTTGGGCTGGCGTGGCCAAAATTGTGAGGAAACACTGCTTCTATATGTGCTTTCCCTTGGGAGAGGGGAATAATAAGGGAGAAAGATCAGATTCATAAAGAATCAGTACCTCGAGGGTTGAAAGGACCTTTTGGGACCTGCTTTCATTCCCTGAACAGGTGGTTTCTTTCGGCTTTCTTTTTTTCTCATCTGGGTCGTTTGGTTTACTTACTGGCGAAGGTTAAAGAGCCAAATCCTAGCTAGGGCTTCACCTGTGAGGGCAGGGTCCCGGCCAGCAGCAGGTGCTGGCTGAAGTGGGGAAGTGGGCAGCCGGGTTCAATGAATTGGAAACCTTCGATTTCTTCCTGTGACCCCTCCCTGGGCCCCTTTCATTTTTCTAACCGGGCGGGGTTTTTTGGCTCAGATTCTGCTGGGGTTTCAATGGAGGAGCAGCCCCACACCCTCTCCTCCAAAATGGCAGTGTTGCTCTTCTTTCCCACTTGCGCCCCTCCACTCTTGGAATTCCCACTCACGGAATTCAGATCTTGGGTTAACAAGCAGCATTGGCCTTTAAGATCCTTTCAGCTCCCAAAGTTGAAGCTGAGGGGTTGTTGGACTCAGACTGAAGGGCCAGGTTGCAAATTACTTTCTGAAATGGGCAAATCTTAACAGGTGGGGGTCTTTCCAAGTGCATTTTATTTTTTCAAAGACAGGATCTCACTACTGTAGCTCAGAGCAGCTTTGAACTCCTTAAGTAGCCCAGGCTGGCCTAGAACTTGTGGCAATCCTGCGGCTTCTCTGAGGGCTGGGATCACAGGTGTGCGCCACCATACATGATTCAAATGCCTAATGCCTACTTATTATCAGCAGATTTTTTTCTGTTAGTAGTTTTTGTCTTGGCCCGGTAAAACTTCTTGTTTTATCTTTCTCTCAGGAGCTGAAAATTCTCCCACCCTCAAAAAGGATCACTTAAGAGTTTCTTGCTAACTGAAGGAATTGTTTGTTTTGGGAAACACATGTATCTGCCTAATTATTTTGCAGTAAATCAGGCTCACATAGATAAGAGGATAAGTTCAAGAATTATCTGGATTGCAGAAACTAATCCAACTCATTTTCCACTGTTTGACTCACAGGGAAAAGAAAAATCTTTATTTCAAGTCTCATTTGGTGTCATGCTCCTGATCTTTTCGCTTTACCTTTTAATTAGGAATTTGAGGACGCCCCCGCCCATTCTCCATTCCCCAGGGATGTAGAATCCCCCCCCCCATTCTTTGGAAAGGCTGATGTGCTCTGGAAACTCATTGAGTAGAAACTGCAAAATGAAATCTGTGCAAAAGAAAGGATCTGTGATGAACTGTGCCACTTGACTGGCATCAGTGGTCTCGAGCTTGTCAGAGAGTGGGAGCTTTTTGGTTTTTTAAATGTGAGATTGAGTGGTTACGGACTAACTAGGCATAATGGTTTAAACAAAGTTAAATGGAAAAGCAAGGTTTATGTTGTCTCTCAGAACCTATGTAAAAAATTATAAAGTACGATTTTATGATAAGACTCCTATATTTTTAAATCCCCACTTTTGAGATCTCTTTCTTCCAGATAGGTAGAATACCCACCACTGTCTTCAGATTCTCACAAAAGATTTTCTCTACTTTGTAAATCTTAGGGACTAGTTGCTGTAGGAGGAATTGCTTTTCCTTATTCCCCAGCCTGCTTGTCATCCATTATACATTCTCCAAAAATTACATTTTCTGGCTCTGGGCTGACTTTCCATTGTATTGTAGGATGTAAAGAGAGAGAAAGTGTCATTGGACTGCCATTCTATGTCTCATCCAGAAAAACTTCCAGACCTTTCCCAAGCAAAATATGGGATGTGGAGTATGTGAGTTTTCTTTCTAGAGGGATGGGGCTTTCATGAGATTGCCATAGAAAGTGATGGTACAGTTGCTGAGTCTTGCATGTGAATCTCTTGGTGCTGTATAAGCAGTTTGACCTTATAAATGTCCCGGATGTGGTACCACATCCAACAGGGTGCCTTGAAAAGATTCCCATCCTTGGGTGTTTACATATTTATGTCTCTCCTAAGAGCATCCTGTATTCCTGTACATGAGTCCATTGGCTGAACTCACCTCATATGGTCAAGGATTTTGGTTCCTGTTACTCTCCCAGCTGGTGAGTGGGTCCAGGGCCAAGTGTGACTGACCTACTATCTGTGGATTGCACTTGGAACATCACACTGAAGCTTCCTGAAGTTGCATCACACTTGGATCCAAACAGGCCTGGTTGAGATATTCAGACTTCACTTTGGATCAGAGTAATTGGTTTGACCCTGCAATTCCTCTTTTCCTGTGTTCTCTAGTTTCTGAGTCTAATCCCTTTCTTCCCAATTTTGCTCAGGGGTACTGGAGGTGGAGAGGAACTGTGACGAGTGGGCCAGGCAAAAATGCCTGAAAGCTTGTCTGGAGCTTCAGAAATCTGTGACCAGAAGGTCCAAGAAAAGTGGTCAGGGAAGGGCCAAGAAGGAAAAACTGAGAGAGACGAGCAAATTGATAACCTTCATTCCACCTTCAAAAACTATCTTTTTCTGGGGCTGGGGATTTAGCTCAGTGGTT